ATATTTTGTCAGTTCCATGAGGGATTTAGTTATTCATATTTCGCATATATTATGAAAGCTATTTTATTAATCATATAATCTTATTGAATAGAAGCGAATGATTATTTACTGACTCAATTAAATATTTAATTCGCAATTTTTTCAATTAAATTGTTGCTTTCGTCTATTAAATGTTGCATGAATCAAAGAAGCGATTTTGTAATCTCAATTAAGCAATGAAGGATGACACCGATTTTGTAGAATCAGTCAAATCATAATCGATTCAATTAACTTTTGTTCTCAGTGTAGTCTGAACAAAAAATGTACTGTTCATGTCAACTTTAGTTATGTAGCCATTTTTATGCTATTCACAATATCCACTAACTTTTAACGTTGCTTTTGATTACTTTCACAACATTATGTTGACTAAATATAAAAAGCTGGAATTATTATTAACAAATAACTTACAAATTTAGCACTTAGTCTTGCCAACGTCCGCAAAAGTTACATTTTGAATAAGTGCTTCATTAAATTTATTATCTTTCTCTTCATGCCGTTGCTCACGGTATGAAATCGTTGTGCTGTCCTTGATCAGTAGTTCGAAAGGCACGTGATTATTTGCTTCCTTGTAAAACGACAATGCAACAGCCTTGGTGTATCCACCTTCAATGTCTAAGATCTGAAAGAATAATACAAAATGAAATATTATTTTGCAAGTAAAAACAATTAAAAAAATTTATCTTACCTTTCCAATGGTAATTTTCTTCACGTACTCCTGGATCAAAATCTTACCCTAAATAAAACATACGATTTTCTTTTGACTCCCATTACTAAGTACAAATTTAAAAAGGTCGTACTTAGCTTTCGTCTCAACAACTATGAGTGCATGGACCTCATCCACAAAACACACCAGCTCGCTAAAAATTATAATAATTTAACTTAGATTATAATCCTATTAATTATATGAATTTCGACAATGAACTTATCTTTGTTTCTCAAATTTACTTGTTACTGTCGACGGATTTTGTTGCACACCAAAAGGCAGATCAAGCAGCTCAAAAGGCACAAAATGTCTATTAGTCACGGGTCAGTTAAGATTATGCATATGCAATATGCATATTCGCCGCGTGAACCATCTCTGCAGAACTATATCTAATTAACACTGACCACTGATCAAATGGATATACGCACGACACAGTGGCTATATATCTATGCTCGTGTGATCATCTCTAGCCAATCACATCAAGAACAAAATGCGACCCTTTCCAGTCCATCTCTTTTTTTATATAAGATTTTTTAATAAAAGGATAAAAGGATTTATAAAAGGATAAGTCCTGAACAGGTAATACGGAAGTGCTTAATTCTGTATGTAATCAAACGCTAAAGCAGCTGTCGGAGATTTAATATTTTCTAGTGAAGTTTCTTTTTTTAGTTGACTAGAATTCCATAAGCGCGATTTGCATGCGGAACACGTATAAACAATCATAGATCAACGTTAATTTCAAATCTACCAATCAGAATCAATAGAGGCTTTACTTTGCAAACACTCTTTTATTAAGGATCATATGATATCTATGCTTTGTCCTTTGTTCTTATTTTCAGTTGCAACAAAGCTGCTTCTTTTGCAGCCTCACTGACATACGAAATAGAAATTATTCCTTTTAATTTTTCACGTTCACAAAATGAGTTAACTTAAGGGTATCCAAATCGTAATTTATCTTTAAAATTATCTATAAAATATGTATAAGAGAAAAGTACTCAACATTACTCTTTGAATTTTTTATTTTCTACATTTTCCACAACGTTTCCACGTCTAATCCATCATCAAGATACATGATAACTTTATCGCATAATGATTAGTTTCAGTAGAAAAACTGTTAATATGAGCATCAATTTTTATCAATGTTTCAGAAAGAATCTTAGTCTTTCTTTTTTTCTTTGCCTGTCTATGTATTTCTATTGTAGTACTAATAATTTTTTTTTGGAAAATGAGGTTGTATTTTCCACTTATAAATGTTTAATTGTGCATACTCACCCCCCCCCCCAGAAATAAAAAAAATAACGGATAATATACCTTTTTATTTACTATAATTTTTTGAATGATTGTGACAATAACATTGGATTCCAAAACTACAATTATGTTCCTCAAGTTTTTAAGCTACTTTAACTGGACTAACTTCTAACTTGCCGAGTTTGTTAATTCTCTTCAATCTTTTCAAAGATATATCAATAAGAGAAAGAAAAGCATCGATAAACAGTTTTTTTTTAACTTACCTACACTGCCCGTCAATCACTTTTGCCATGCTTACCTCAAAATTAGGCAAACTTGAAAGTTTTGTATCTCGATCGGAAATCATCGTATCACAAAAAACCGCAGGGAATTTTAAAGGTAATTGCAAAAGCTTCCATTTAAGACGTGCAGAGACTTAAAAATGAAAATATGTGTTTTTTACAGTAAAAAAACTGATTAAAAAAATTTCACAAAATGAGTAGTATAAATTTATTTATATAATAATTAATATCTTCTGTTGAATATAATTTGAAAAAATAATAAAAATAAAAAAGAATTTATTTATACTACTCATTTTGTGATTTACTACGTCCCTAGACATTTTAAAACTAAGCGTAAAAAGAAAGTTAAATTCCTTTATTTTTTTAATGCGCTAAAAAACTGAAAAAAAAATTTTTCTCTATTTCTTTATTTTGACTTTATTTTCGTATTCTTGAACACAAAATGAAACTTTTTTCTCCTTGGCATTTTTTTCCAAAACGTACGCAAGTCGAAATAATTGAGGATTGAAAAAAAGGTTATTTTTTTACAAAAAACGCCGTAACTCGGTTAAAAAACATCGGATAGAACCCCGCGGAGGGCTAATTTTAAAGGGAAAGACATTACCCTCCGAACCCCTCAGGTCGATTTGCCCTCCACCGCCTGGTTCTAAATTGACATTGATTTAAGTTTTTAATCAATTTTTTTACTGTAAAAAACACAAATTTTCATTTTTAAGTCTCTGCACGTCTTAAATGGAAGCTTTTGCAATTACCTTTAAAATTCCCTGCGGTTTTTTGTGATACGATGATTTCCGATCGAGATACAAAACTTTCAAGTTTGCCTAATTTTGAGGTAAGCATGGCAAAAGTGATTGACGGGCAGTGTACTTTTACTTGATGTGTATAAGTCATTCGTCATTTTTTAACTTTTTTTCTACGTCTTAATCCCATTGATTCATAACTAATAACGAAATAAAAGTAAAAAAAATATCTTGTTCATTTAATGAGCCTAATGAGAATCTTCGAAGTAATTTTTGTAATTTATTTTGGCAATATAGATTTAATGTAGTTATTTTTACACCTAAAATATTTTAATACAGTAATTTATTTTATAAGTCTTTGTGTGTGTGTGTGTGTATTTTTACATTGAAATCAATAAGATAAATAACAATAGTACTAATACTACTAGGATATAGCTTATAGATATATGTAGATCTATGAAAAAATTGTTTAAATTACTTTATTGATGCTTACTTTCACGGTGGTCCTGAACATCTTCTGGAAATGTACTTTTTTGATTATTGATAAAAGTTTCCCTGCAAACTTTGGCTTTCATCCTTTAATTCCGAATTTATGATGATAGATGGCTTTTTTTCCTTTTTTTTCCTTTGTCTACGTCACTATCATTATTTGACATTACTTATCAATTTGGCATTATTTATCAATACAAAGAGTTAGCTTATTGTAATAATTATAATTGGATATTGATAAATGCTTTCATTGCAATACTCACATTACAAATACTAACACACTCAAAGGTCTCCGAATTGCCAAATAATACAAAACTTATTAAACAGTATGGTATATGAATATTTTAAAATATTTTTTTTTATTTCATACAAATAGACTCAAGATCAAGTCTTAGAAACCGTTTTGCATAAATCAAAATTTTTTAAATTAGTTTTTTGCTAGTCTGATTACATAATATGATGCCGTATTATTTACTAGTTGCAATACATACTGATTCAATTTTGCTAAAATTAAAACTTAGGTCTGTTTTTACATGAAGCGACTCATTATAGTAAGCAGGAAAGTAATCTCGATGGAGTGGCGTTTCGAAACTCTGTGTTGTTGCAAGTGTTGCGAAGTGAATGTTTCAGCAGAGCATTAATTGTGGCGGTACATATCGTCTTGACAGTCAGCGCTTCGCAGTTACGTTTACGATCTGTGCTTATAACGAATTATATACGCTGGTCCAGCGCTTTTATTTTAACCCGCTATCTGTCGGCATATCACAGCCAATTGTCGCATTCGGACGCATATCGTCACGTGAACCACGCAATTTTGGATTTTAGCCATCTCTTTTCCTGACAATGTGCAATTCAAGTCTACGAGTGTGTGTTCTCTATCTCTCTCTCGATCGATCGATCGACCAGTCAGCAGTGTGGCCAGTACCTGCGTTCGTTTTAATGCGCCTGCAGAAAGTAATATCAAATAAAACATATGTATGTATAAGTCTATGTCGAGGCGCAGTAAATGACATGGAGAAGAGTTGCACTAGAGAGACAGAAAGAGAGATATGTATATTTTGACGCATCTCGCGCAAGCTCGTTATAGGAGACTGCAGGCCTAGAGGCGTAAGCAGTTGCGGCATAATAGAGTTTTTCTTCTCTCATTAGGTATTGAAGTCGAGCAAGTCCTCGACCAGCAATCTTCAATCCGCCGATTAATTAAATATTGTTTCTATGTTGCCAGCAGATATTGTAAAGAGCTACTCTGTAAAAGAAAACGCATGGATCGTCGAAAGGAGTTCGCCTGCTGTTACTGCAGAGTGAGATTGCGAGTCCTTAATTTATTTTGGCGTTCGGAGCTTTTGTTGGGCGGACGCATGCGCAGAGAAGCGCGCAGGTGAACTGCATGTGGCGTGTATTGCCGTTGTGGTGGCGGTGACGTGGCCGGCCGGCAGACGCGCTGCCGCCGCGACGCCTCGGCAGCAGACTCAGTTGCGCCGCGTGCGTTCTCTTTGACGCACGTTCTCGCGTCGTCGAAGCGCGTGCCGCACCAATAGAGCTACCTTTCTGCCTGACCCCCGTTGATCGTCGTGCGCGGCAATCCGGTGATATATTGCACGCACGTGGACACATACAGGCATGGCGATGCTGCCGGACACGTCACTTGTTGATGGCTCTCGTGCCTCCCGTGCTCCTTGCGCCAGCCGCGAGGACATGCAAGTAGTTTGGCTGCTCATAACATTGCGCTCGATCTTTGATCTTGCTTTGAACGAGCTTAGACCGCTGAACTCAAATGAAGTCGCGCGTTCGCTATGCATTGTCAGTTCTGATAGATTGTGTGCGTGTCAAGCTCGCGTTTAGCGCGATGGCCGCGCACGTGAACCTCAGTTAAGCTTAGTTTTTGCTTTTCCTTTCCTTCGTATTCATTTCTTCCTCCTTGTGCTTTTCACCTACCTGGAATACTTCAATTGAAAAACGCTCGTACGAGCAATATGCAAATAATCTTGGAAACTTCCGATAATGCCCATTATTTTTTTCTGTTGCGCTTATTCTCGATTCAACGACATCTTTAGGTTATTTCGACAGATTGATCCGGTCAGTGTTGCTGAAATTTTTATTGACTGCCAGTGTTTCATCATTGCTTACAATGTCATTATTTCAAACTTAGTGAGATTGCTTGATTACCAGTATCCCATCGTTCGAAATCTATTACTCTCTCTCTCTTCGACGTCACTTGTTATGTTGGCATGTTTATTTCAAAGACAAGTCTTTAAAGTAAAATCAGCTATGAATGTTTATATCAGAAGACTTCTAGATTACAAACTGATAACAGTTCAATAAAAAAGTGTCTGTGCTTCAATCTTGTGACGAATCATACAAAAAAACTTATGCAAAATAAACAATGACGTCTAATATTGAAGGAAAAGAGTCTCCAAGGTAACACATTTTGTTGAATAAATATTTGTTTTAGTGTACGCACAGATCAGCTGATTAAATGTAATTGCAAAATATATCTGCCGGCATCGGCTGATTAATACTATATGCCTGTGTAAAAAGTAGTATGAACAATGTGCAACTATAGATATTATGCCATATTGTTATAAAGGATCAATTTTAGTGAAACTGTTCGGGAGAAAACAAATATAGAACATATAGTCCGAGAATAATAAATTCAAAGCGGTTGTAAAGAACAATCAGATAAATATGATATTATAAGAAATTTCTTTCTGACCAAACTCGGTTGTAGGCAATCCAGGGTTATTTTATTTAGTGATTGGAAATGATCGAATATCATTAAAATTTATTTGTAGTACATTTGTAAACGAACTTAGTTTTTGAAGTAACAATAATAACAGAATCATCGGGTAGATAGTAGATTAGTAGATTAGTAGCTAGATACACGACACGATAATCTCTTTTCCGAATATGTAAGCTACAGTTTTTTTTCTCAAAACGTGTTGAAAGCGTAAATGTAAGTGTTTGTTTTTCTCTGAGCATGCGGCGAAGTCGTACATTCCATACAGCGTATTCAAAATGTATTAAGAATACCGGGTAAATGACTTTCAGACGTTTTCTCCAGAACAAGTAAAAGAAACCTTGGCTTTTTCTTTGTTGTCAATTCTCATGTGCTATGAATTTATCAATAATTTTTCGATTTGGGTACGTAATGTACTATTTTTTTCTAGCAACTTAAAATTAAGCACTTCACGGTTCAGTCGGTAACATCCTAATTTTTGCTTTTTTGTCGGGAAAAAAAAATAATATACGACTCATAGCCGTAAAATCGACAAATCCGTACCACATATCAATTAACACCCGAGCCAAAGCTTAACAATTTCACGACCTTTTGATTGTAATATACTGTTTCCAACTTAGCTAATTACCAAACAATTCATTCTTGATGACGACGGCAGAGGTAACTTAAAGTTAAAAAAAGTTTGTTATTATTAAATAGAGTGAATAGATAAGTATATATCTGCCTTTCTCACTTAATCTTGTCACAGAATAATTGTTATCTTTGGATAAAAGTTTTGCCTCCTAAATAAATTTTTAGGACAGTATTCAACTATTTTTCGAATGATATTTAAAAATAACAGAAGTTTTTTTCGAATGCAATGGTCATTATGAGTAGAAAATTTCTTGAAATATTTTTAATTCATCTAGACTACTGTGTACTCCTTGTCCTCGAACTGATTATTTTATATATTAATTTTTTCAAAAAGTCTGGAACAAAGTTTGCTATAGATTATAGTTGAATTTGTCTATAACTTATAAAGTATTGATAGTGTTCATCGTCATATTTTGGCCATACTTTGTAGCTATAGTTTGTTTGTACTGTATTTTAGTCTAAAAAGACTTGATCGATACACTTCAGAATAAGATGATACAGGAGAAAATGTAATGACAAGATGGTCCAGGTATGAACAAAAGAGAGAAAGAGAGAGAGAGAGAGAGAGACTGAAAATAAACAGCTATTAAATGGAGATGGCGGTATCGCCGGTCTCGTTTTGTTGAGCCGCTCTGGTTTACTCGAGTCATTGTCATTTTTCTTTAAAAACGACGTTCTTCTGACATTTGCAACGCAAGCTCGCTTTCCTTGGACATCACACTGCGATATGCTGCGTCAGCAGCATCATATAATATATGCTATAAATATGAAGCCCTGAAAAAAGCAACAAATTTTTTTCCCAACTTTATTACATGTTAACATTATATTCAAACAACAATGCTAGTTTGATGATTATTGTTATCACAACATACAACTAACATATCGGTTGTAGCTTTGTAGAATCGAGAAGTGAAGCTTGAGATTTTACGTTCTTGATAATATTCTCGTGCGAGAGAAGAGGGAGAAAGAGAATTAATGCGGGAGTATTAGGCGTCGTGCCCGTGCCAACAGAGTGCACGTGCAAGCAGCGCAGTCACAGGGGTACACAATATACAGAGGGGATTAAGAAGGGCTCATAGCGGCGCCAAATCCACAGACGGATTCCGCATCGTTCCAATTAATTAATGCCCTCTATGCCTTCTATTCTGCTTATGTATGCTCGCTCACTATCTAGCAACTATTGCGCTTCTCCCGATAACCTCGCTACAATAGTTTCTTATAATTAATAATAAGAATTACAGTGCTCGCATTATATCGTCCGTCTTGAACCTACGATTAGTTGTTTTAATTTTTTCCCAAATAATAAAGGCTTGTTCATTATTTACTCCGTGCTATGCATTGCTCATCACTCTTACTCCTACTCTATCCGATGCTTCTTGGAAAGAGCAAACTTGGTATAGCTCAATAAGGACAATTTTCCGGGATAATGATGAGCGATTAACAAGCTTTGGCCCGGTTCTTCTTGTTCATTTGCTCAGATCGGATAGATAGACATTGCAAGCTGAAAGTGCTTTCTTTTATTTTTAATGAGGCCTTACTCCTTCGAGCAACAGACAAATGAGGGTTGCTCGCATGCCGCAGAATATATAGGCTCCTCCAATGTTATTAAATATATCGACTATTTTGTTAACTAAAAATCCAAAAGACTAGCGCTTTACTGGATTAAATGGTCTCAGTAAGCATATTATGACATCATCACAATAGTGATTTACAGAACGAGCTTTGTTAAATAATAGCTATAAGCTTTGACTGGGTTGGCAGCGTTTAGTTAAGCAGTGGAGCTTAGCGGTATCGTGGCGTACATGGGTCCAATTCACGGAAAGGCCACTTGGTGCAGTGAATTTTTTACTCTTGTCGTTGTTGCGCAAATTGTAGATTGAAATATCCATAGGTCAATGAATCAAGTCAATGCTTGGTCGAGTGTTTAAATAAGTCGGCTGGTAGGCAGGGGCAGGCACATCAGTAAAAGTAAGCTACAGTCTTGATTTATCAGTTGGTTAAAGGGAATAAGAAAAATGTGCGGAGATCGCCAATAGGTCGTGCAACAATAAAATTTGCGGGTGAGTCGGAAAAAGGCATTGGTAGAGGGGAGGCAGAGACGGATAAGCGGGCTGGCGCTGGCGCGCACGAGGAACAAGAAAATCGCGCGGAAAGTTTTGGAACTGTAGAACGTGGCTGGCCTGACGATTAGAAGCAAGAGGATCGACGCGAAGCAGGCGCGTGCAACGTTGCAGAATAGTCGAGATGGGCGGGAAGGGACAGTCGTTGCTCGCTGCGCGCTACGTACAAGGCGAGATGAACCATACATAATGAGCTAATCTCGGCGAACTTGACGGGAGGTTGTAGGCACGCCAGTCCAGCCAGAGTCAGCTAGCTGCCTTCGTCTCGAGTCTTCGTCTCTTATACGTGACGAGCACATTCAACAACCAATATCCGTCACTCGATACGCTCACTGCCCATGCCGCCCACGCCGCTCGCAGATCCTCAAGGTCTGTCGCCCGGCATCAGCTACCCACTGTCTGATATACTCGTATGATACACGCCTGTTTATGAAAATAGCATCGATCGAGCATCCGTTCATGCTATTGATGTCGCGTACTTACTTGCTCTTTCCATTCATGCGCTTTCGTTCATCGATTCGCCGTCTTTCTTTTTGTCTTTTACAGGCTTCTCCCGCATAATGCACACCAGGTGCACTCAACAATGACCTTCTTCTTATGCTATATTCATCGACTAATCCCGCCATTCATTCACTCCACTACATTGCCCGACCGACGTTTACTGCACGTGTCTTTAACGTCGGACACCTACTCCTCGATCTGCTCTTAGCATGCGCATTACGTCAACACGGCCTCTACGAAGACGATTATCCACCAACGTAAAAGCACCAGCCTTTAATCCACTTGGCAATGGATTGCGAGCTGCTGTCATCGCGGCGCGCGGGGATCAGTAGGCTCTGACCTTGCGTGGCTATTTGTCGCACGCACAGAGACGCAAATCTCCTGTTACCTGGCTCTTTGTGGCTGTATTCCGTCTAGCCCAAGCATTTTGGCTGCTGTGTGCATAAGCTCTCGAGTTCGGCTGCGCAAAAACAATGCCGTCTCCGCAGCAGCAACAAATCAGTCTTACAGACATCTGCGTTAGGCGAGCAACTCGCGTCAATAAAATTATACACACATAGCTGCTTCGCGGGCCGGCCATTAATGAATTAAGTAAGCGCCGATAAAAGTTTAAAAGGAGCGTTGGTCTGCATATCAGCTGACGCCGTTTATTGTTCAAACTGACTTATCCAAATCAGTTTTAATAGAGCTCTTATGTTGACGCATGGCGC